TCCCTACACATATATCTGTGTGTGTGTGTGTTTTCATTGTAGACGTGTATTTCTATGTGCGTGTGTGTGTGTGTGTGTTTTCAGTGTGTCTCTCCGTGTCTTCCTACTCTCTCGCCCATGCGTGTCTACGTGCGCTCCCCCATTTCATTCCCTTTGTCCCTGTCCCGCAGTGTGTGTCTCTTCCTCTTTTTGAGACATGTGTTTGTGTGTGTGTGTGTGTATTTAGTGTGAATTTTCTGTGTGTTTGTGTGTCCATGTCTTTCTGTTCTCTCTGTGCCTGTTTGTGTGTGTCTCTCTGTCTCTCTGTCTCTGTCTCTGTTTGTCTGTCTCTCTGCCTCTGTCTGTTAAGAGCAGAGCCTGTCCTGCAGAGCAGCGGATGTATGAGGGATGATTCAGTGGCTGACAGGAAGCTCGCCGCCTTGCATCCTGCCTGCCAGTGTCTGTGGCATTGGCATCAGATCAGGCAGGTGTGTGGGCTCAGGATGAGGTGGCCGCAGTGAGGAGCCCCCCGCTCTCAGGTAAGCCTTTTCCAGGGGTGCCTGGAGCCTGGCCCCCAAGGCAGGGGTCCTGAGGCTGTCCCCCCGACACCCCACGGGGTTGGGAGTGGCCCTGCTGGCCCAGCAGGAGCGGTTGGCTGCCCGCCGGGTGGGCTGGGAAGAAGCCGGTATGCCCGGCACCCCCTCCCTTGGCCCCAGCCCTGTCCTGGCACCCCCAGCTAGCAAGCCCTTGCCCCAGACCCTGTGGCACTAGAGGGGCAGCTGATTCTGCGGCTCTGGCCCCTCTCCCGCCCCGCCTTCCCCAGCCCAGCCTGCACAGCCCTGGGAAGCCCCCCAGGGCGGGTTCCATCACTTCCAGAGTCCGGTGAGGGTCGAGGACAGCAGCTCCCCAGGCCCAGACCCGTGAGCCTTGGTTTCTTCATCTGTGGAACGGGGCTGTGACAACCCTGCCCCAGGGCTGTGGGAGGATGGGAGAGATGCTGCAGACAAGCAGAGCCAGGTCCTGCCCCTGGCCTGGAGGAAGACGCTGTCCCAGCCACGGCGCCCAGGCCCCAGGCTGGCCACCAGCTCTGCTGGGGAGCTGGGAAACTGTAGGCCCTGGGGTGCTCTTTGTTTGTTTTTTTAAATTTTATTAATTTTTTTTATACAGCAGGTTCTTATTAGTTATCCATTTTATCCACATCAGTGTATACATGTCAGTCCCAATCTCCCAATTCATCCCACCACCACCACCACCACCACCACCGCTTTCCCCGCTTGGTGTCCGTATGTTTGTTCTCTACATCTGTGTCTCTATTTCTGCCCTGCAGACCGGTTCATCTGTACCATTTTTCTAGGTTCTGCATATATGCCTTAATATACGATATTTGTTTTTCTGTTTCTGACTTACTTCGCTCTGTATGAGTCTCTAGATGCATCCACGTCTCTACACATGCCCTGGGGTGCTCTTGGTGCCCTGCTCTGCCTACGGGTGGCCCTGACCTTCACCATCCCCCACCCGTGCCCAGAACAAGGGCTGCCCGGGTCCCTACCCTGAACGCCTGAGCATAAGAGCCTCTATTAGAGACCTCTCGGTCAGCCTCATCTGAAGGCCAAGGTTATTTGGGAAAACGGAGCAGAGCCTGGCAGATAAGCCTTTCCAGGAGTCGGACGGGGACCTCTGGGTCCACCCCTACCCCCGCAGCCTGACGTTCGGCCCTGGTGGGCCTCAGTTTCCCCATGTACTACGTGGGGAGGGCTGGGAGGCTGGGCAGGAGGGTTGCCAAGGGCCTCTCAGGGTGAGAGGCTGGGTGCAGAGGCTTGCTCAGCCCAGCCCTGAGAGCTTTTCCGCCGGCGGCTTGTTGCAAAATTTGTTCATATGAAAACTGCCCACTTCCCTTTCTGCTATTTTGGCCTGCAGGCCACGGGCTGTGGCGGCCTCCCCTCCCCTCCCCACCCAACTCAGCCCTGCCTGGCCCCTTGGGGCCCTCCTGGGGCTGCCGGGCCTGCCTGTGCCAGGGGCCCAGCTCCTCTCCCTCCGCCTTCCCCTGCCCCACTTGTTCTCAGGCCTGGTTGGGAAAGCAAGGAGAGAGGACAGATTGATTCAGTCTGGGGGGCAGCCACAGAGTTTTCCTCAAATGAGCCTCTCTTTTAAAAAATATTGCGTGATTCTTAAAATGTAACATAAGCAAAAAAAAAAAAAATGTAATATAAGAAAGGATTTACATAAAGGAGTGTAGGCCTTGGAGTCAGCCTGCCCTGGGTGTAGATCTCGGTTCTGTGACTGGTCGGCTGTGTGACCTTGGGCAGAATACTCAGCTCTCTGGGCCTCCCTCTCCTTCCTTGGAAGAAAGGAGCTGGCATCTCCAAGGTGATGCTACCCGCGTCCATGACAACCGAAGGGCTGGGGCAACAGCGCTGCTCTCCTTCAGATCCCAGCCCCTCCCAGGGTCCCACCACGACGCCCTGCATGGTGCAGTAGAGGTGGGGCTCAGGCCTGCATGTCTGGGGGACCCGGCAGGGAGGGCTTCAGGTAGGGTTGACCCACACTGCTCAGTGCGGGCCATCCAGCCAACTCTGGCCCCGACAGGATGCGGCTGTCTCTTCCCATCCCACAGGGACCGTGATGATGGCAAGTCACAGTGGTCACAGCCGACCATGCCCCACCGGCCGGCACTAGCACCTTACAGGCGTCCTCTCAATGCTGGGCCTCAGATGACACACCTGAGTGTTGAGTGTCATTCTTTCCCTCGTTTAACAGGTGACCGAAGGCCGGTGACACTGGGATTCAACAGCTGGGGCAGAATTTGTGTTCTCATGCTCCCCTCCCTTCCCTCACCCAGTGCCAGGTGGGTGGAGATGGGCCAGGGCTGGGGGCATCCCGAGCGTCTGCTCATCCCAAAACAGCAGGGCCAGGAAGCAAGAGGGCTTTCTGATGGTCAGGGTCCTCTGGGAGGGAGGGCAGCAGAGGTCAGCAGCCCAGGTCCCAGGGCCTTGAATGCCAAGCTGAGAGTGTGGACTTGCTCCTGGGGTCTTAAGCAGACCCCGGCGGTGGCCAGTGCTGGACCCTTGTCCCATGGGTGCAACCCTCCCATGTGTCTGTGCATGAACCTCCTCTGGGGCAGAAAGAGTCTCTGTCATGACCAAAGGAAAAAGATGTCAAAGGTGGGAGCTCAAGGGAACTGTCCAGACCAGCCAGCTGGAAATAAGAGCCTCAGCAAGTTTCTCTTCCGGAAGCCCCAACCGTGATCCAGGCTGGACGTGTTTGTCCTCCCAACGACTCTTTGAGGAACGGCCTGGGTTGGTCCCAGTCTTATAGATGAGAAAACTGACGCCAAGAGACCCTGAGGCACAGGCAGGCTTCCCCGCTTCAAGGCCAGATGCTCCCAACCTCACCAGCCTGAGATGGACTTGGGCCTTGGCTGGAGGCCCAGGAGGGAGGCAGCCCCGGGGCAGAACGAGGTGGGGGGGAGGGAGGAGGGTATGCAGCCTGGGAGGGCAGTGCCCAGGCTCGTAGATCCCCTCGGACAACCTCCTGGGGTGACCAGGTCATCCTCTCTCCTCGTGTGGAGGCCGCCGGGTCATGAGGTTTGGGAATGGTCATGTTTCCGCTGACTCACTTGGGAGTTTGGGGGAGGGAGAGGTGACTTCATGACGGGCCCCTGACCGGGGCTCGGCCCTGCACGGAGATTCCTTGTCATCTTTGCCACAGGGAATCAGGAAGCTCAGAGTGGCGAGGGGGACGGCTAGGTGCAGTGCAGTCCTCTGGGGAGCCTGGAGCAGGAAGCGGGCAGCACAGAGCTCAGGTCTCCCCAAGCCTTGCCTTGCCCAGCTGGGAAGCAGGGAGAAGCCTCCTCCCAGGTGGCTGCGGCAGGAGGAACAGGTGTTCACCGAGGGGACACTCAGTAGCGTGGGCTCCACGTGCCCACCACGGGGCACCGCCCCCTCAGGACCCCCGGCTGCCCTCAGCTCTCACTGGCATTTGCAAGGGGGGGCTGAGTCTCTTTATAGTTGTAACGATTCTCCTTGGAGGGCCCCTCAAGAGGGCTGTACTCACCAGGCCCTCCTGTGCGGGTGCCTGTGGCTTTGCTGAGGCCTGGCAGTCACAGCAGGGCCCCGAGGCTGGGACCGGCCGCTGACCAAGAAGCAGCCTTTTAGCGCCACCTCCCAGCACATCCCACCAGCAGCCACCAAGGTCCATCTGCCCAGGCACCCTTCTTCCCCTCCTGGTCTCAGGCCCACCTCCTCCAGGAAGCCTTCCTGACCTCCCTCCTTCCGTCACCCAGGGCAGGAGGAATCTGGGCAGATGGGTGTTTTGGGAATGGAAATCCCACCCCCAGCTTCCCCAGAGGCCATGAGTGGGAGCGGAGAACCACCCAAGGGTCGATGGGGGCTGCCGGGGCTCCCAGGCAGAAGGGGCCATGGACTCTGAGGTTGGGGAATAAAGCTGGGTTGGCAGGAGGCAACAGGATGCAGTGGGCGGAGCCAGCGTTAGGGTCTGGAGACTGGAGTTCAAATCCTGTTTTTCCCCTTAGCAGCTGTGGGATCTCTGGCTTTCGTTTTTCTGTTTGTGAAATGGCTCGAGCCTCTCCCTCAAAGGGCAGTTGGGGGGACTAAGCGAAGACGTGTGTGGGAGTGTGCACATACATGTGGTGCTGTCTGGCGGGTCTCCAGAACCTTCCAGCACTTACCAAGAGTTGATGATGGCCCTGGGAGCCCGGGGTGCAGGTTGGGGGTCAGATGGGGGAACAGGGCTGGTTCTGTCCCTGCCTGGTCCCAGAGCAGGCAGGGGAGGTGATGCTGGGCTCAGCTGTGGGGTTGGCAGGGGACGGTGGGGGCCAGAAACCTGGGGTTCCTGGAGGGGGCGGCCCTGCAGCCTCCACCCCAGCTCACAGTGCCCCCACGTTGCAGCCCTGCAGGAAGAGTGGCCAGGAGTGGACATGAGCGCGGACGCGGAGCTGCTGTGGCCGGGGGCGGCCCTACTGCTGCTGATGCTGGGGGCGGCGGCCGGCCTGTGTGTGCGCTGCTCCCCCCGCGCAGGTAAAGGCTGGGGTCATGGGTGCGAGGGAGGGGCGGGCAGTGTACCCAGCGAGCCACTCAGGCCCAGACCTGGCTGCAGTCGGAAGGGGCAGTCAGATAAGCCTCAGGAGGCAGAAGTGAACCCCAGGGGCCTGGGTTTCTCCTCTGAAGACGATGGGTCTGGCTCACTGGGGGCTTCGGTTCTGCCGGGTCAAGGGCATGTGTCTGGGGCCGATGGACTGCGCTGGACAAGCGTGGGGAGGGGGGCTGGGCTGCCTGTGTCCGCCTTCTCCACGCTCCGCGTTCCTAAATAAACGGTGAGCAACCCCCGCCAGTGTCAGGTGGCCCCCAGTGATCGGTGGCTTAGCCCGCACGTCCGGTCTGAGGCCTGCACAGGGCACAGGGGAGACACGATGGTTGGGCCTCAGATCTCAGTTCCCACCCGGCCCCGGGATGCTTGCTAATCTGATCCTGTTCTTGCAGGTGCAAAGAGGTCCGAGAAAATCTATGAGCAGAGGAGCCTGTGAGTGTCTCAGTGTCCCCAGCACGGCGATGCTGTGTGCCCTGGGCATGGGTGTCCACGTGGGCATCCCCTCGGGCACCGCCATGCCCCACCCCTAACCCTTCACTCACACCTCCTCCGTGCCGGGCTCTAGTGGGTTCTAAGCAGTTAGGGGAGGGCGAGGGGGTGCCCAGGGGCTGTCCAGACCCGGCCCCAGCCTGGTCGGGGAGGGCTGGGGATGCCACAGGAGGGGAGGAGGGGATGCCACACTCCAGCTTGCCCAGGAGCATCTCCAGAAATCCCCGCAGTGACCCCAGCCCTGGGGAGCGCTCTGTGCCGGTGCTGGAGGTCGACAGAGGAATCCCACCCTCCCGAGGCAGTGGGGGGAACAGAGACCGGGCGCTGTGTCCAAGTCTCCCCTGGAAGACACTAAAGGACCTCAGGGGAGGATATGGGTGTGAAACTTGGGGGACCAGGGGAGGCCTCCTGGAGGAGGCGGGAGGGATTTTAAGAGAGAAAGAAGGCGAAAGGGGACATCCAGAGAGAGAGGGAATGGTGTGGGGATTTGCCGATGTCGGGCCGGGGTGGACGCTGTCTTGGGGATGAGGCGGTCGCTGTGCGCATGTCTTGAGAGAGATCAGCTGAATGCAGAGAAAGAAGAGTCTTGACTGTGGAGAAAGACCGTGGCCTTTGTCCTAAGGGCCAAAGGGAGCCACGGGAGAGCTGGAAGCAGGGCAGTGGGGGTGAGATGAAACGGGGCCACTGACCCCAGGCAGAGTTGCAGGACCTGGGCAGGAGGGAGTTCCAGGCACCTTGGGGACAGGCTGGCCGTTCTGTGAGCCGTGGGAGGGTCAGCAGTGCTATGGGCGCTGCAAATCGGGGGGCGACCCAAGAACAACTCGAGGCAGGAGGGCAGCAGCCAGTGGTGTCCTTACAGTGCCTGGTGGAGGGCTCTGAGACCTGCGTGCACACACGTGCACAGGCCTGCACGCCCACTCGCACCCACAGGCTCCCCCAGCACTCGCTCATGCGTGCACTTCTCACACACACGGCACTTGCTTGCACGCCTGGGCAGGCACTCACATACAAACTCACACACACACCCTCTCTCATTTCCTTTTGCAACTGAAAAACCACAGTGAGATTTGAAAATAGAACTTTCCCATCCATGCCCACTCCTGCGGCTGGGGCTGGACTTTCCCAGGCTTTTGGGGCCACTTGGTCCTCTGGCTCGCCAGCCCATAACCTCCACCAGGGCTGGGCTGGGCTCTCCTAGTGCCCACCCACACCCCTGCCCCAGGGCAAGTTCCTCAGTATCTTCCCTCTCCCCTCCTCCCTCAGTCCCTGCCCACTCCAGGCCCCTGATTAATCTTAGAACTGAAGATAGTCAGAGGCACAAGTTAAACCTCCTCACGTGGGAGGTGGGAAAACTAGGCCTAAGTGGGAGGAGGTGGGAGGGGAGACTTGGGCTCTCCCCACCTCACTTGGGTTCAGTCCTATCAGCCTGTGTGTGCCAGGTCCAGCTCCTGCATCATTTCCTCTGGGAAGCCATGCCTGACTCTCTTCTGTGGATTTAGGGCATCATTCCTAAATCAGATCACTCTGACCCCCAGCCCCCCAGGCTGGAAGGCTGGGGCAGGTCACCATTCTGGTCCAGGGGAGGAACCCAAAATGGTTTAATGATTAGCTAATCTGATCCACTATCCTTAGCAGTGGCTTTCATTCCCAAGGGTACTTCATGGTCCTAAGTGGCAGCTAGAGCTCCAGCCCTCATCTCTGCCTTCCAGGCAGTAGTAAGAATGAAGGAGAAGGACAGAAATGGGGCATCCCAGTTAGCAGTGCCTCCTTAAAGGAGTTTTCCTGAAAGCCCAACAACCTTGGCTTTGCATTTCATTAACCAGAATAATATGGTCACACATAAATGCAAGGGAGGCTGGGAAATATAGCCTTTTATTAAAAATTGAGGTAACACTGGTTTATAACATTATATAAGTTTCATGTGTACGACATTATATTTCTACTTCTCTATACCCTACATCGAGCTCACCAACAAAAATTTAGTTTCCATCTATCATCATGCAGTGGATCCCCTTCACCCATTTTGCTCTCCCCCACTCCTGGTAACCACACGTAACCACTATTCTGTTCTCTGTATCTATGTGTTTGTTTTTGTTTGGTTTGTTCATTTATTTGGGGGTTTTCTGTTTGTTTCTTTTTTATATTCCATATATGAATGAAATCATACAGAATTTTTCTTTCTCTGTTTGACTTATTTTACTTAGCATAATTCCCTCGAGGTCCATCCATGTTGTCACAAATGGCAAGGTTTCATCTTTTTTATGGCTGAATAGTATTCCAGTGTGTATATATACCGCATCCTCTTTATCCATTCATCTGTTGATGGGCACTTAGGTTGTTTCCATGTCTTGACTATTGTAAATAGTGCTGCAATGAACATACGGGTGCATATATCTTTTCAGATTAGTTATTTTATATTCTTTAGATAAATACCCAGGAGTGGGATTGCTGGCTCATATGGTAGCTCTATTCTTAGTTTTTTGAGGAATCTCTATACTGTGTTTATAGTGGCTGCACCAATTTACATTCCCCTCAACAGTGCCCAAGGGTTTCCTTTTCTCCACATCCTCGCCAACCCTTGTTATTTCTTGTCTTTTTGATAATAGTCATTCTAACAGGTGTGAGGTGTTACTTCATCATGGTTTTGATTTGCATTTATTTCCCTCATAATTAGTGATGTTGAACAGCTTTTCATGTGTCTGTTGGCCATCTGTATGTCTTCTTTGGAAAAGTGTCTATTCAGTTCCTCTGCCCATTTTTTAATCAGGTTGTTTTTTTGTTGTTGAGTTGAGTTAATTATATATTATATTATAAGGGATATTAACCCCGTATTGGATATATCATTTGCAAATACCTTCTCCCAATCGGTAGGTTGTCTTTTTGTTTTGTCGGTGATTTCCTTTGTTGAGCAGAAGGTTTCTAGTTTGATATAGTCCCATTTATTGGGAAGTACAGTCCTGTGGATGGGTATGTGGCTGTGTCTAAATAAAACTCAGAGTTATGTTTCAAGGGAAGGTGATGGTTAGATACCCGGCTGTGTCTGCTAAGCCTTGAGGTTGCCTCATCAGTTACTGGGGAGTAAATGGCGTGTGTGAACAACTTAAGAGGACCGTGCTCTCTTAGGAATGTTAAACACTCCTGGGATGACAGGTGGTGGGAGCAGCCTCTTTGTTGCTCCTGGATGATGTCACTGCCAGGTCCCTGAGCAGCTGCCCCAGCCCTGCCCACAGACTCTCCTGGGCATCTCTAGGGGTCCTGGGGAGGCTCTGTGGGGGCATATGTCTGGCTGGCAGCTGGCTCCAGCCCAGGGCCATGTGAGAAGTGTGGGCACGTGGTGGGCAGGCAGGGAAGCACTCTAGAGAAGGGGTGCATCAGGAAGCCCTGGATCTGAGTCCTGGGGGGGCTGCCAGCCCCTCCTCACTCTCGCCCTGGTCTGTCCCTCTCTGTCCGTCTGTCCTGCCCCTCTGTCCCTGGGGCTGTGGGAGGCCAGGCCCTGGCTCAGCACAGCTCCATGTGTTTCCAGGCAAGAAAATCAGCAGAACTTTGCAGTGGCCCGGACCTATACCCGTGAGTCCCCAGACAGAAGGGTCCAGGGCTGGGCTCGGGATTGGGAGTGTCCACATCAAAGTCCCTTTCGTCCCCATTGTTCTGAGGCTGTGGCCAGGCCTGATCTAGTGGGATGATGGGGTGAGGGGGCTGTGCTGGGCAGCTGGCCTGGGGGCCCAGCCAACACCCCGTCAACCTTTGCAGTGGTCAGGGAGGCCTGGCCAGGGCCCCTGGTGGACACGGCCTCCAACGCGGCATCAGCAAGGTAGGAAGGAGCCCCTATCCCAGCCCCACGGGAGGCAATGAGGTGGGCCCCAGGGTCCCCACCTGGCTGAGCCCAGGCCAAGACCTCGCTCCTTCCTCGGATCTCAGAGCCCCAGTTCTGATTCTGAGGGCCCTACCAGGGGGCTGTGGGACTGTGGCCTCCAGACCCCCAGGAAACCCGGGGCCTTCTCCCAGCCCCTCCTCAGCCCCTCCCCCACTCCCATGCAGGAAGGACAAGCTGCTGCAGTTCTCCCCCCGCCTCGAGGGTGAGTGCCCTGGGACACAGGGTTGGGGGCAGGGGCGAGGTGGGACGGAGACAGGTGAATACCTGGTGAGACAGGTACTGAGCAGGAAGCCTTCCCAGAGGAGAGACGCTGTGAGCTGGGCTGTGAGCCCTGGTGGGGCTGGCCCAGCAGGGGGAGGGGACGGAGAGCAGGTGTGAGGGCGTGAAGATTGGAAACACCTAGCCTTCCTCCTCCGGTGGTCACAGCTGGGAGGGGGCGGGGGCTGGGGAACCAGCACTGAGCCAACGCAACAGGCCTGGCCTTTCTTCCAGATTCTTCATCCTCCAGGTACCAGAACTTCAGCAAAGGTAGGTGGGCTCCGTGGAGGAGGGGGCCGCAGTGGGGCATACAGCCCGCGCTCAGGCCTGATTCTTGCCTCCTCCTGCAGGAAGTAGACGCAGATCAGATGCAGCCTACATGTGAGAGGGCTTCTCCGGGCCCTGGCCATCCCCTCGCCCCGCTGCCCGCCCTGCCCGCCCTGCCCGCAGCCTCCTTACGTGAGAAAGGCCTCCTGCCCTGGAACCCGCTGGCCCAGGCAGGATCTCTGTAGCACTGTTTCCCTCAGATGACTGTAGCTTTGGGGGGGCTGAGGACAGGGACAGGAGGGAGCCCTGCTCTGTTTGGGGGTGGGGGAGGCCGTCGGGGGGCGTCATCCTGCACCACCCGGTCAGAGACGAGTTCCACCGACCCTCAGATAGGAAGGGCCCCCAGGACGTCTCCTCATCTCACAGTTGGGCAAACTGAGGCCCAGGGCAGGAGGTAACTTGCATAAGGCCACACGGTGAGGTGGCTGGAGCCAGGGCGGCTCAGGGGTGCAGGGAAGCAGGGTGGGAGGATCAGGGGAGACCCTGGCAGGGCCCCCCGCGGGCTCCGGGGGCAGTGACCGCCGGAGCAGCCCTGGCCTCGCTGCCTGCTCAGGAAGCTCCCGGCCCGACCATGGGCCTGCCCAGCAGTTGGTGCTGTGTCTATGTTTTCTTGCCAGACACCCCTTCGCCACGGACTATTTCGATTGTGGGCAGTTCCAGAAGCCCCCGGAAGGTGAGGCGAAGGTTGATGAAGGGGAGAGGGAGGCGGTGGCCTGGGAGCGCAGTTTCAGAAGTCACACCCCCAGGGCGGGGCCAGAGGTGGCGGGAGGATGTAAAGCAGGAGGCCAGGCCTAGGTTTAGGTGGCTGGAGGAGGCTGGGCGGGGCGGGGCGCGGGGGGTGGGGGGGGGGTACCTGGGGGAGGCTGGCCCTGTGCGCAGGAGCCGAGGTGCAGAGAAGGGAAGGGATGGGCGGGAAGAGGGGGGAGGGGGGCCAGAAGGGGAGCTGG